GGTGTTCCCCAAACGCCTCACGGTCAGGCAGTCACAGTTTGTCTCTATCAGTTAGCCAACGACCTAAAAGTGACTTTTGCAGTTTGAAGGTCACTTCTGACAAATTTTAAATCATTGAGACACATTTTGAGACATGATGGACACTTCTTGGCATTCTGGACACGTTCAAAGTAATTTTAAACAAGGTCTGTGGGATTTACCTGAAGCCAGGTGACTTTGTCTACATGAGCATCTTAAACAGTCCCAGTTCTGCTGTAAACATGCAGACTCTTCAACAACCCGAACAAACTCCAAGAAGGTTCAAATTAAATGATCTTCTATCAAACGTGTGTCGATCAGCGAGCAGAGAAAGTCTGGACGTGATGTTTGAGTTCAGAAGCGACCACATCGAGCTGATGGAACTTGTCAGAAGTGAAAGCAGCTCATGAGGCTGCAGGTCTCTTCATGTCTGAATGCGTGTGGCGGCTAAAGTCTGTTAATGAAGCAGATGGTGGAGCTGATTCACCGTCTGTTCACCAAGTCAGAGCGGCACAAAAACCGACTGCAGGTAAAAACCAAGACGCTGCTTCTTCAAAGCAAACAGGCGACATGAAGCCAGCTCCGGTCTGAGGGAACACCGACCTGCTACGAAGCCTCAACGCAGATCCTCTGTGATTCCTCTGCAGATCCTCTTTGGTCCATCTTCAGGACGCCGAGGTGGGTTCTGTCTCTTCACAGTGACTGTTTTAGTTCCTCTTCATTGCCGTCATTAGTTCCTTTGACTGTTGTTCTTCTTCACTGTCTGGATTCATGCTGGTGGTTCTCTTCAAACCTGAAGCAGCTTCAGCGTCTCTGCAGTTTGTCGTCCTGAGCTGATGTGAGGCAGCAGATGTCTGCAGAGTGTCTTAATCCAGCAGGAATCCCTGAAACTCAGACAAACGGACCTCATTAATCACAGATTAACTGAGCATGTGTTCAGGTGCATGATGGGATTGGCAGACCTCCAACCAGGTCACACTGTGTTGGTGTCCAGAAACATGTCGACCAGCAAAGCACACAGCCAGTAATCAGATTACTAACCCCAACCCTCCTGTAGCCCTTCAGTGTTGCCATGCAGGCCCCACAGTAATCAGATTACCTGTAACAGCAGAGTATTGTCTCTGGTGCCAGATTACTACTTCACTATTTTCTAACCCTTCAAATCACTTTTAAAACAATTTTTAGGATTTTTTAAAAATTCAAGCGATTTGGGACTCGTTGACGTCATTCTTCTCAGAGTCGTCTTTGATTTGTGGACATTCATTCGACTGTATAACAAGTTCAAACCGGACCTCCCCCTCACCCCAGCTGCACCTTCACATCCAGAACTCCACAAACCGGATCGGAGACGAGGGAGCTCTGGAGGAGTCCAACACCCACCGGAAATGTGATCTTCTCTCCTATTGGTTGTAAAGGGACCGAATGGATCCCAGCAAGCCCGGTACCTCCACGAAACCCCTGTGGACCGGGACCTCCAGCTCCCTGAACTAAACTTTCCCAGGAGGCTGAACAGCGGACACCCGAGAGCTCAGCTCACCCTCCGGATGGCCTTTTAAAACCAGAACCAGTGCCTGGTCGGAAGCTCCACAGGTACCGTACCCGATGATGTGTCAGTCAAGACAGTGTCCAGAACCTTCAGCTGCCCAGAATGGATCTTCTTGACCACCTCAGGTATGGATGAAGATTCCTCCATGAGGCCCAGAGAGCTCCTCTAACGAGACAAATGTGAGGTTTCTGACATAAAGACGACACGACAGCAGCAGAGGAAGCTCAGCCTGTTTTATTCCATCCTGTGGACACACATAGAAAATAGAAAACTTTGACAACATGCTGTCTGTCGGAACCAAACTGGCAGAAAGTCGTCAACGGACTCGTCTGTTTTTCAGCTCAACGCTTCGTCATGTAAACGGTCATCCTGGAAGACCAATCAGACGTTAAAGTTGGACGTCAGTTTTAGAGACAATTCGGCACAACCTTTCTGAAGAATCACAGAGTCTCCGACAAAAACTGCTGATTTAACTTTTAAAGTCAAAAGAGCGAACCAGGGAACTAATGTCGTCCCTTCAGAGCTGAGATCCAAACAGCGCTGAGGGAACGAAACACGAGAACAGCTTCTATGTGAGGCTCAGATTACATCATCAACACCAACTTCAGCCGACTGTTAGTTTGAGGGAACTAATTCTCATCAACGAGAGAGAAACAAAAGGACGAGATACACAAATGTAAAGGAACAAATGACACAGAAATAGGCAGAAGT